GGACGCAGCGACAGAGTCGGGGTGCTGGCAGCGGTCGCCCACGCCTCCCAGGGGTTGCAGGCCTGGGCGCCGGGGTTGGACCAGTCTTCCGGGCATTGCACGCCCTGGTTTGGTCTGTACCCATGGTTTGTGGCGGGGCAAGACGTTAAGTTGGGTAACACCGAGGTGAGCCGCGGTCCTCGGCACCAGATGAGGAACCACTGTCTCAATAAGGTGTGACGTGGAAAATTTGTGTGTCTATGTGTGACTTAAAAATATCTCCTTTGCTGACGTCTAAAATTTCACTATTAGAGATGCAGTCTTTTGTCCTAAAGATTGTTCTCAATTCAAGGCCCTGAGAGGAAGCAGTGCATTAGAACTTGAGGTCTTTAGGATGAGTCAATGATTTCATCTCATCTTTGTCGGCAAGGCAAGGGTTAGCCCTCAGTGCTCAAGACACAAAGAGGACTGAAGGCGCATTAATTGGTACTTGCTAATCAAGCCTTAGAGACCAGAGCGCTCCCTGGGAATTTTACTTTAGAGAGAAAACTCATTGGCCCTGGAGCAGCCCTGTGTCGTATCCACTTTGTGAATGTTTTAGAGAGGGTTAACGGGGTACTAGCACAGTATGATTAGTTCAGTTCATTGGATTATTACTTTGTAAAAGAGGCAGCATCTTTACTAGTGCTGTAATAAATTGCAAAATTATTATCTCCATTTCCGTTCCTTATAACTTCTTTCTTTGAATTAAGAAAATAGTGTGGTAGGGTACCGTGAACTTTGGAGCCAGAAATTCCTTGCTTGGAGACCCCTGTCTGCCATCTGTTGACTGGCTCTGTAATTCTGGAAAACAGCCTTTCTAAACTTCTGTTTTCTTATCTGTAAAATGGGAAAAATGCCGCCTACTTGGATGGTGATTGTGAGCATTAAATTAAATTCTGGAAGGAAAATATCTGGTATTTGTGTACTGATTTCAGGTCTTGGTGCTCTGTGTGTAATGGTTACTGTGAGAGCTTCCCTGCAATCCAAAAATGTGTGTCTCATTCTCAGTGACACCAGTGATGCTGTTAAACAAGGGCAGTCCGGTTCATGGATTGTCACAATGCAGACTGACATCAAGGGGACCCTGCTGTCAGGTACAGAGGGCACCACAGTGACCAGGAACTGCCGTCCTTTCATACCAGGCTTTAGGAGGCTTTACCAGAAGGAATGGAAAATGCTGGTGGGCAGTAACATTGAAACGGCATTTGAGGACTGGTTCTGCATAAAACCTTAAATTCTTCAAGGACGTTGACATTTGTTTATTCTTGTAACAAATTAAAACCTATCCTGTGTGTTGGTTAGAGATCTTCAAACTGTAAATACCTTGAGGCAGGAGTGAGGCTTTATCTTTTAAAGGACAGGCCCCTACTCTCCTACGTAATGAGTTTCTAAAAATGGATGTGAGCACCAATCAATATTTCTCTGGTTGTTAAAGTCAAGAATAAAATGGTATTTTTAAGCTCACAACTGTGTAGGATGAATTCTGTACACTTTTAATTTCCTCTGTTCTCCTTTCCTATTTGAAAGCTGATTAGTTTATGGACTTGGGATCAGATTATTCATGCATTTTTTTTTGATGTTGTATGTCTCTTGGTTCTAGGGTATTTTTGACACATATTCTGTCTTGTAACCATAGTTAAACAACTATTTTAGACCAACTCTCTGTGTGTAATTGGCTTCAACACTCACTGCTAGTCCTTTGACACTCTATTTTTTCCATTCTTGAGTAATTTTAAGTCATCGTTTGGGCAGTTGAAATATATTTTAAAGTGATTTAAAGAATATGTGAGTGGCAGACATTCTGAGCTCTTTTGGTTGTCTGTCCTCAAAAACTAAACTTATTTGTGAGTAAAATTTTCATCTAAGTGTTTTCCATATCAAAACTCTGTAAGCTACTCCTCCATTGTAGTAGAGACAGAGGTCAGCACAATTTTCATTCCTTCTTTCTCCTTCCTTCCCTCCCACCCTCCCTCCCTCCCTTCCTCCCT